CACACACACACACACACACACACACACACACACACACACACACACACACACACACACACACACAAGCACACACACAAGCACAAGCACAAGCACGCACACACACACACACACACACACACACAACGCAAGGACGATGGGAGATCGGTGCAGGGCAGCGAGCAAGCTCAAGTTTGACCGATATGGGTTTCTTGAACGTGAAGAAGACGACCAAGACGAGGAAGGAGATTTCAGATGCCACGACTACGGGTGCGTGCTTGTCTCTGTAATCTGTTAATGCATGCCTGACTCTTCCACGGGCATGTTCTGTCATGCAAGACAAACCATCTCGCCCCCCTCTGCGCATGACACCCAAATAATGTCCTCACCCACGTTGACGTGCCGCGCACACATGTACTCACCCATCCCTTCCATACACACTTGTGCAACCGCAGGCCAGAGCAAGAAGATCGAGAGAAGGAGGCGTACTTAAAATGGCAAGCTGTCCTGAAGGACTGGGACAATGTGCAGCGCAGTCGCCCAGACATGGTATGTTTGCAGAATGTGTCGTGCTCCAAGACAGTCTTGGCTCAATTCAAAAGCAGCTGTCAACACCAGTTGTCAGTATCAGCTGTCGATCCTGGCTCGAAGATGACTTATGTTCTTTGGCACCACCCTTCTTCCACTCTGATCTGTCCGCTCACGTGCTCACGGTGCATCTGTGACCTCACTTCAAATGCAGGTGTTTCAGCTTCTGCAACAGGGAGTGCCAAACGCGCTTCGTGGCCAGGTAAGCCAAGAATAAAAGCAGAGAACAAGAGCTGTGTTTCAACTGATGTGACTTAGTTAAGTTGGTTTGCATCCCCCGCCCCCGCTTTCTGTCACTTTTGCACACGAGAAGGCGTTTGCTCACTGAGGCTGCTTTTTGTTGGTCGTTGTTCTTCGCGCTGCCAACACTGTGCAGATTTGGCAAGCGATGCTTGAAGTGGAGAAAGTGAAGGCGAACGTAGACCTCGACTACAACAGTGAAGTTCAGAGGATTGCGCGGCTGTGTCAGCAACGCGAACAAAGGCAGACACAACTGGACAAGGAAAACATTGCATGGGCAAACGACTACAGTGCCGACGAGGAACGTGGACGACCCCGCCCAACCGACCAGCAACAAGACGGTGTGTATGTGTGTGTGTGCGTGTGTGTGTGTATGTGTGCGTGTGTGTGTGTGTGTGTGCGTGCGTGCGTGTGTGTGCGTGTGTGTGTGTGTGTGTGTGTGTGTTTGGTAACTGCACGCATGTGTGTGTGCAGTAACCCGGTGGTGTGTACAAATCAACCTGCTTGAAGACAGCCCACATGCTCACTCATGCGCGTGTGCGCATGCATGTGTGTGTGTGTGTGTGTGTGTGCAGATGAGGCACCGAGCATCCAAGCGGTGAAGCAGATTCGCCTTGACCTGGATCGCACCTTCTACACGCACGTCATGTTTATGGAGTGTGATGGAGAAGGACAGCAGGAGCTTTTCCGTGTCCTCGCAGTCTATGCCGCGTACAACAAAGAGGTGAAGTGGCCCAAAGCATGCGCGTGCCAACATGTCTGCAGCACTGCGAGTGCATGTGTACACGTGTACTCTCGTTTCCTGAACGCCATAGCCATTTCTGCAACGCAATCTGCCTTGGTGTCAACGCAAATGTCCTCACCCACCACGTGCCTCCAACTCGCGCGCGCAACTCTTGCTTCATTCCTACACGGGTAGACGGGGTATTGCCAGGGCATGGCGTACGTTGCAGCGGTGCTGCTCATGCATATGAAGGAGGAGGATGCGTTCTGGTGCTTTCTCTCGCTCATGGAATCTGCTCTCCACCTGCAAGGATTCTACAGCGAGCGCCTCGTCAAGATCCAAGAGGTAAAACAACGCAATGCCTGCGTGTGGGGGGGAGTTTGCGCGTGTGTGTGCATGTGTGCATGTGTGGGTGCGTGCATGTGTGTGTATGCATGTGTGTATGTGTGTGTGTGTGTGTGTGTGCGTGTGTGTGTGTGCACGTGTATTTGTGTATGTGTGTTTGGGTACGCTCTGTGTGCATGTGCATTTGTTTGTGCGTGAACATGAATGTTGGCTTGGAGGCGTCCCTGTACATATGTCACTACGCTGTCACACAATTCCCCCAATTCACCAACACCATGCCTGCGGCAACCTCTTGGCGATATTCATGCGCCCAACAGGAGTCGCGGGTGTTTCAAGGGCTGATCGCCCGACGCATTCCGGCATTGGCGGAGCATCTCAATGACATGTACATGCACCCGCTCATGTACGTGACGCAATGGTTCATGTGCGCGTTCACGTCTCTTCCGCTCTGGGACACCGTCCTCGCCATCTGGGATCTCCTCATGTTCAAAGGTGCAGACATCACCGCGTACACATGCACACGATGCGGGTGTGCAAGTGGCCAATCAAAGTCATGTGTGTGAAGTGTGTGTGTAAGTGTGTGTAAGTCTGTGTAAGTCTGTGTGTAAGTCTGTGTGTAAGTCTGTGTAAGATATATATATATATATATATATAATATATATATTGTGTGTGTGTGTGTGCTTTATGCCCAATGAAACGGACGTGAACGCGGAGGGTGACTTTCATCAGCGATGTGATATGATATATTGTCAGGAACTGACAGCACAGCATCCACGATGTGCCACGTGTGTTTGTGCGCAATATCATGGCAGGGTTTGTGGTGCTGCATCAAGTTGGACTGAGCATCATGCGTGTATGTGCCAACGACCTCCTCCAAGCCGAGACGCTTGCCACCGCGCTTCCATACCTGCAACACCTCCCGCCTCACAAGGTTTGTTGTGTGGACCTCCTGCGACCGCAAGCAGGCTTGATTTTGCTCAAACCCCCATTCCAATATCGGCGCACTTGCTTGTTCACCAACACACCTACTTCCGATACTCTCCCACAAGCCCCCTGCGCACACATACACATACACATACACATACACATACACATACACATACACATAAACATACACATACACATACACATACACATACACATACACATACACATACACATACACATACACATACACATACACATACACATACACATACACATACACATACACATACACATACACATACACGCATGTGCGATGCAATGATGTGCAGTTGTCGCAAGACTTCTTTATGCAGGAGGTGTGGTCTGTTGACGAAGAGGAACTGCAGCAGCACTTGCATGAGATTCGAAAGGCCATCCGCCTTGGCACCAGTCCAAGCAAACTCGGCCCGCACTACTGGCAACGTGAGAACCATCCATCAAACCAAGCTGAAACTCGCGCACGCGCTTGAGAGAAACGCCAGCCAAGAGGCTGTTGCGTGCTCCTCCTTGGTGTGCGTGCGTCGATGTGTATGTGCATGCGTGCCAATGCCATGCAATGCACACACCGTCAACTGATCATTTGTGTATGTGTGTTTGCCGACCCATTGGCATGCACCATCGTTCCATGATGTATTATGATGTGTGTGATTAGCGCAAGCGCCCGCGACGCCGTCCATCTTTCGCCGCGTCATCACAATGCTCAAGACCCCAAACAGGTGTGTGTGGTGCCAGGAGGACGTGCGCGCACGTGCGAAATTGTGGGTGAACCTATGTGGCAATTGCCACGTGTGTGCGTGCGTGAGTGAGTGTGAGCGTGTGAGCGTGTGAGCGTGTGTGCGTGTGTGCGTGTGAGCGTGTGTGCGTGTGTGCGTGTGTGCGTGTGTGCGTGTGTGCGTGTGTGTAGATGAATGTACGATTGAGTGTGTGTACATATGTACTCCTGAATTTGCGCATGCGTGTACGTGCGGCAAGCGGCGAAGTTTGCGGCGACATTGAGCTGTTCCTTGTCTTGACTCAAATCCATCGCCTCTGCTCTTGATATTTCCAGTCGCCGCCGCGCTGCTGCCGCTGCAAGAGCGCGAAACGCGAGCATCTCATCAAAGCTCGCCGATGACACACCGAAGGATGAGACGCAAGGGAGGGGGCAACACGACGCACCCGCTGTCGCACCTGACACTGAGCAACAGCAACAACAGCAGCAACAGCAGCTTGGACAGCGTGGCCTCGCTTCAGACGACGAGTCTTGCATGCAGGCATCTCCGAGTATTCTCGTGGGAGATGTTGATGTTGGTGTTGGCGATGATGGCGATCGTGATGTTGATGGAGAGGCGCTGTCTTCGCCGGTTCCGGCGCTGTCCAGCCGTGTCATCACCTCTCTTAACGCGTCTCTGCTCTCTCCTCAGCCCGAGGTATGGAGCCACGACTTGTCAAAAAACTTGTGCATTGGAAGTGCTGTCAAGACCCGAGACTGCGCCATCATCTCAATGCTAACATCTGTGTCGCGCGTACACCTTGCATTACCATGTCGCTCACGCTATCATTGGGTACTGTGGTCTTGTGTCAGTCGCCGGCGTCAACCGCACGCAACAGCCCCTTCTCGCCCTCCTTCCATCGCTCCGGTGTTCTCTCTCCATCATTTCGCGGATCCATTGCCGTCAGCCCGCCAACACCGTGAGTGGCATCAACACGTGCTTGTACGTGTGTGTGTGTGTGTGCTGTGAGCGCGTGACTGCACGTGCATGTGTTGAAGAGCACGTATGGTTGTATGTGTGGGCTGCAGAGCACACGTGCCGTCGTGACTGCGTGAGTTGCGAGCGCATGATCGCCTTGCCATGATTTAAGCTGCACAACGGATTGAGACTTGCTCGTTCACAATGCATCGTATCACCACCATCACTATCAGAGCGGATCCACACGACGTGCCCGTTCTCTTCCAGTCGCCAGGGTGTGTGTGCGTATGTGTAGAATGATGCTAGTTGCATTGCTGCCCCCCTCAAACAAGGAAAACAGGGGGAGAAGGACATTTCAGCATCATGTGTGACATCTCATTCACATTCAACCCTTTTCCACATCTCCATGCAGACGCATCCATGGCGCCATTGATTTCACGTCGCCAACGGTTGCCGAAAGTCTTCGTGCTTTCACGGTACGCGCATGTGTGAGTGTGTGCTCGGGTGTGTTTGCATGTGTTTGTGTGTTTGCATGTGTATGATTGTGTGTGTTGTGTGTTGTGTGCTGTGTGTTCGTGTGTCGTATGTTTGCATGTGTGTGACGAGCGTCACGGTGTATGTCGGGATATATATCTGCGATGCTTCACGTCCAGTTTGAGTTCGACTTGCATCCTCGTCTGCATTTCCCTTCATCCAACCGCCAACGCTACTCAACACATTCGACCACCGACCTGTTGCTCAGGCCAAGACCCCACTTCGCGCATCCCAGGTCACAACCCCTTTCACCGACACGCAGGTATGTCTGTGTACGTGTGTGTGTGCGTATGTGTGCGTGTATGTGTGCGTGTGTCTGTGTACGCTGTGGATCATGGCTTTTGCAAAGTGCGTGCACGTGCTTACAACAACGTGAACCTGCTGCTGCAGACGCAAGACAGTCAGCGTGGGCGGAGGCGACGCAACAGGAAAACGCGCGGGAATGACAACCCCGAGCTTGTGCTCTCGGTACGAGCGCACACACACACACACACACACACACACACACACACACACACACACACACACACACATACACACTCACCACACACACAGAACACACACATGCACACACACTCACTCACACACACACACACACAGAGTGACAACTACATTGTTTTTCATCACAACACACAACAACATCACCCAGCACCATCGCCATCACCGCCACCGCTGCGTTGCTCACGAAAGTTCGATGCCTGTTGTGGTTGTTTGTTTGTTTTTAATTGTTTGCCAGCCAACGTCGCCCGTTGAGGTGGAGCTGCAGTATGTGACGGATGGTGCAGGCACAGACAAGGAGGGGCATATGGCACGCGCAACACCGCAACACCAGCTGTTTCAAGAAACACACGCAGAATCGCCGCCCCGCATGTGCTTGACGCGGCTGCACACCGATCAAGACAGCAGCGAGGCAAGCAACGCCACACCGCCACCAGCACCAGCAGCCTCCTCATCTCCGCTCTCCCGCCAATCGACGCCCATCAACAAGCCACGACTGGCCGTGCACAAGAAGATGCAGCTCAGACACCACCAACGCCAACGCCACCAATGCCACTCGAGCCCGAAGCGCGGGTCATTCAAGGGGAACAGGGGCACGCCCCTCTCCACCGTCACCAATTCATCCACAAACACGCCAACCAAGCAACACACACCCACGCCCACGCAACCAATTCGCCAATCTTCTTCATCATCAAACTGCTGACGTGGTACCGCTGCTGGCCTCGGCCTGTTCTTGCGCCGCGTTGCGTTGTGGGATGCGTCGTACTTGCGTCGAGTCCCGCTCTTTGCTTTCTTCGTGTCCAGGCGTGTTCCTTTTGCCTTGGCGCACGTCGTTTTTACTTGCCTGCTCTTATTTTCACATCGCTACGCTGGTGTCGGTGCTGCTGGCCTTCGCTTGCACGTGCTTTGCCCATTGCTTCGTTCATTGCCCTGCTGTTCTTCCGCCCGCCCTGTGCTGCGTGCTCTTGTTCCCGCTTCCTTTGTACCTGCTTTCTCTTGTTTGATCGATATTACTTGACTGTTGCTTGCCCTGCTGCCGATTGCAGCCGCAGCCGTTTGCGTGCGCTGCTTGTGATAGACCGTGTCACCCCGTCACTGTGGCTGGCCTTCTGTGAACAACTGTGGATACTTTGAGCGCAGCTCATGCATCTCCGCCACCTTGTCATTTAGCTCCTCTGTGTGACAATGGCATCGTTGGATTGTGTGAGCAGATGTGGTTTTGTGTAAGAGAGAGTGTGTGTCAGCGTGTGTAAGAGAGAGAGAGAGAGAGAGAGAGAGAGAGAGAGAGAGAGAGAGAGGTGTGTGTGTGTGTGTGTGTGTGTGTGTGTGTGTGTGTGTGTGTGTGTGTGTGTGTGTGTGTGTGTGTGTGCAGGCGTCAGAAAGCCGGCCCATCATCAGCGTGAATGGCTGTTGCAATATGTGTGCGTGTGTCTGTGTCTGTGTCCGTCTGGCTGTCTGTCCGTCTGTCTGTACGTGATGTACGTGCTGTGGTTCAAGTGGCTAAAACCCGGCTCAATCCACAACGCGGTGCGCACCTTGCTTCATGGACAGAGCGTCTGCCGCAGTCGACTTGAAGTACACACTGCCGCCACTGGCTTTGGCAGTGTACACTTTCTGCAATGCACACAACACAAAGAGACAGACACAAAGAAGCAGAGAGAGAGAGGGAGGGAAACAACCACAAAGCATCAACAACGTGTGTGTGTGTGTGTGTGTGTGTGTGTGTGTGTGTGTGTGTGTGTGTGTGTGTTTGCCGCTGTGACACTGAACCACGTGCGAACACGCAACCTCCCATCCATGCATCCACACGCATGTGCACGTCTCTCCGCATACATCACAGCAGCCACAACCACACCCACACCAACCGTACCCTGGCCGAAGGCAAGTGCTGTAGCTCGCCCCGCAACACCTGCACTGCCTGCTTCTCCTTCGCCAACCCCTTGTTGGTGTTGGTGCTGGTGCTGGTGCTTGTGCGTGAGGTCATCTTCACCGTCCTTCGCCTTGTGAATGGAGGACAGTGTCCTGGTTTTAGTACAGCACAAAATTAGACCAGCAACGACGAGTGTGTTGGCTGGTGGCGTTTTTGCTGTGTTGTTTTGTTTGTGTTCCCTCCTCCTCCTTTTGTTTGCTTCTTTCGTGTTCTTCTTCACGACGTCCCTCGTCCGCGACACCCACTCTCATCTTCCTCTCTCACCCCTTCCTCCCTCTAGTTGAGCAGCACGACCCTGTTGTTGCAGGAGTGGCGGCCGATATGGCGGTGGACAAGAGCAAAGCGGCGTTTGGGCTGCTGCACAAGCCCATGCTGGCGCTGGTGCTGATTGCTGACGTGTGGATTGTGTTTTTCCCGTCGCCGGAGCTTGGCAAGTATGTGATGCCGGTCCTGCAGGCTGCCGTCTTTTGGGCACAGAACATGGTTTGCCTGGTCACTGGCGACAAGCCCATGACCCCAGAGACCTTTGAAGGCGAGTTCCCCGTCGCCACCGTTATCCCACTGAGCCTTGCCATGGTTTTGGGCTTCTTCCTAGCCGAACGCATTGTCGAGGTGAGTCAACTGTGCCGTGGCGAATGAGGGTGGCGTGCACTGTTGTGTCATGGACAGGTTTGTGCACTGTTGTGTCTGTGTGTTTTGCGTGTTTGTGTGTTTGTGTGTTTGTGTGTTTGTGTGCGTGTTTTGTGTTTCTGTGTATGTGCGTGGTGTATGTGAACTGTTTGCGCCTGCTCGTGTGCTCGTGTATGCTACCCCTGCTTGTACTGGCCACTCGTGTGTGAGTTTTAGTTGTTGCAAGCAGAGACATACTCTGTCCCTTCAAATCCCTTCAACACATTCACACACACACTGCCGCTCACGTGCGCACGCACGCACACACATACGTATCCTGCAGTTTGTGAGTAAGCGGTTTGCCGAGCCCACAGACGCACCAAAGTTTGCAGAGTGCTTTGTACGTTGTAGCTACTACACCATCATGTTCTTCGTCGCCCTCTACGTCATTAGCACTGAGGACTACTGGCCAAACACCCGCAACTGCTGGGTCAAATCCCAGGCCACGTACGTGTCTTGTCTTCCCCCCTCCCCACCCACCTTGCTCCACTTGCCCACACCCCTCTGCACAAAATGCTCCCCAAAACACCACTTTCTGTTGCTTTTGTGGTCCTTGACTTCTCCCCTCAGTCCTTCAACGCACATATGCGCGCTCACTAGCTCACTCATCTACCCACTCACCCACCCACTCATCCACCCACTCACCCACCCACTCACCCACCCACTCACCCACTCATCCACGCACGCAACATGCGATGTTTACACTCGCCACAGAGGCGAGCACCGACAGCCCAAGCCGATGATCCTGCAAGTGAACTACATCGTGGAGCTGTCCTACTACATTTCTGGCATTGTGCTGCACACACTCGTTGATGAGAAGCTGACCGACTTTTGGATCATGCTCCTTCACCACGTGGTCACCGTCTGCCTGCTCGCCTTTAGCTACTTCCACAACTTCCACCGCATCGGCATGCTTGGTGCGTTGCTCCGCCCTGCTCGGTGTTCCAGGGTTGATGTATCGTTGTTGTATCTTCTGTTGTGTAAGCTGTCATGCTACGCTCCATCGCTCACCCCTGCGCCCATGTTGTGTGCGTGTGTGTGTGTGTGTGTTCCTGCCCTGCCGCTGGTTACAGTGTTGATGGTGCACGATGTGAGCGACATCTTCCTCGACTCGGGGAAGTGCTTCCACTTTCTTAAATGGGAATCGTTTGCCACCGTGACGTTCGTTGGCCTCATCACATCGTGGGCCATGTACCGCCTCTACCTCTATCCAACAAAGGTGAAGAGTGCACTTGTGTGTGTGTGTGTGTGTTAGTGCGTGTGAGTTTGTGTATCTGTGTGTGTGCATGTATGTTCGTGTTCGTGTGCGTGTGTGCTTGTGTTTTGCGTGTGTGAATGCGTGCTCATGCCTCACGTCACCCTTTACTTCACACACATACCAACCCCTATGCAATCCCCTGTGCAACCGCTCACTTGCCCATCACCACCACCAATGCCACTGCCACTGCCAGCTGCTGTACTCTGCTGCTTTTGAAGGATACGAGGTCACGTTTGTTGACGAGGGACACGAGCCCTTCACCATGTTCTATCTCCTCAACATTTGGCTCAACATCCTCCAGGTGCCCGCTCCCTCTATGCACCCCCCTGCTCTTGCTTCATGCTGCATGCTGCTCTTGCTGCATGTACTGCCCTTCCTTGCGTGTCTGCTCTTGCTCTGGTGTCAGGTTGTCTGTTGGGATGGTTTTTGCAATCTCCCTTCACACACACACACACACTCTCTCTCTCTCTCTCTCACACGCTCACACACACGCATGCACACACACGCGCTCACGCACGCACACACACGCGCACGCACGCACGCACGCACGCACGCACGCGGGTGCCATCCTTTGTAGGTGTTGCACGTGTACTGGTTCTATCTGATCTTGAAGGTCGCATACAAGCACTTGATGGAGGGCGAGCTGCGGGATGTGCGGATGGAGAAGGACGCAAAGAAGGCCCAATGAGCACAACCTACAACCAGGACAACACACGCACCCTATCTCTGTCCCGCGCGCGCATATAGAAACACTGCTTTTGTTTGTGTGTGTATGTGTGTTTGTGTGTGTGCGTGTGTGTGCGTGCATGAGCCCAAGTGCGCCTGCACAACTGCACGCACCGCCACACTTTGTGTTGTTGTGCCTTTGGCGGTGGTTCGTCGCCAGTGATGTACAGCTTGTTTGGTGCCGCTGGGTTCTTTCATTGAACCGAAATCCACCATTGTGATAGCCGCTCTTGCTCGCACAGTGTGTGTGTGTGTGTGTGTGTGTGCGTGTGTGTGCGTGTGCCTGCGTGCGTTCGTGTGCATGTCCCGTGCATGAAGTTGTGACGTTGTGACATTGTGACATTGTGACGTTGTGGCGTGTGGTCTACTCAAATCATCGCCCCCTTTGCAACTAAACACAGCGTGATAGTAGATTGCACGGCAGGCAACGAGACAAGCGGCGTGTGCTGTACGCACACACACACACACACACACACACACACACACACACACACACACACACACACACACACACACACACACACACACACACACACACACACAACACGGAGACACACAGCAACCGCTGTAGCTACGGGGCGTGATAGCAGAGGAGAACGCCCACGCGCGCGTCAGCCACAGCCGCCTTGAAGTCTGCGTCGGGCGGGGGGATGCGGCCCGTCTGCTTGCGGATTGCAGTGCGACGCTGGCACGCAGCACGGTACAAGTGGCGCTCCCCTGCAGCCACAACGTAAAAGGAGGAAGGAAAAGGCGGCGAGGCGGGGGGCGAGCATGAAAAAGAGCGTGAGCATAAAAGAGTGTGGGTCGTGCTATTGGTGCTGGGAAACACGAACGGATGAGGATTTGCGTAAGCCCTTCAAACCATGCACAAGCAAATCACAAATACAAGTCCAACCTCGTCCAACACCGCGACCACCACCATTCACCACTGTTACCACCAGTTCCTCTTCCCTTGCCCTCCCACATCGCCCCGCTTGCCACTCACCGAGACCAACGACAAGCAGGAGGTCGTTTGCGTGTGCGTCTGTCGGCGCCAGTGCCTGCACCAACTCATGAACCGTCGTTGCGGCATCAGCAACCGCTTCCCCACGCCCCAACGCCTGGTCAAGCGCAGCCGTCTCAACGACAAGCAGCTTGCTCGCCCGTGCAACGCTGCCGTTCACTGCCCGCTTCGCCTCTGCAAGCGTGTCGGCCTGCACCACATGCACGCCAAACTTGGACATGGCCTGGCACAGAAAGTGCGAACCAATGACGCAACCAGTGTGCTTTGGATCAAACTGCCGCACACCAGCAGGTGTCGCACTCCCCTGTCCACGCGCATCCCCTTGCTTACCACCACCTTTCTCCTTCCCACCATCACCATCCTCACCACCACCATTACCACCATCACCATCCTCACCACCACCATTACCACCATCACCATCCTCGCCTTCGTCCATCCTCCTCCTCCTCCTCCTCCTCTCTTCCTGCTCCTCCTCGCGCTGCTGCTGCTGCCGCTCCAGCCGCCTGCGCGTGTGCACGAAGACATTGGTTTCCTCGTCCGGCGGCCTGAGCGACGACCGCCCCTTCTCCAACTTCAACTGCGCCAGATGCAGACACGCGCGCGCGTCCTCAATGCTGCAGTGCCCGTGGGACGCAGCGCTCGCAAGCACAACCGATGACTTTGACGCCGTCGTTGTCGTTGTTGTCGTCGTCGTGGCTGTTGTGGAAGGGTTCTGTACCACCATGCTGACCTGTTCTGCGGGCGCCGCAACACTCGCGCCGTCCTCGCTCTTTGCCCGCTTCACCTGCTGCTCCTCATCATCATCGTCATCGCCGTCTGTAGCGGTTGCTGGTCCTGTGGCTGTCGATGTGGACATTGCCTCGGTGGTGTGAGCGCGGTCCGTGGCGCCGCTCTGCTTGCTGTCGTTGTTGCTGGTGGTGGTGCTGTTACTGGTGTTAGCGTTGCTGTTGGTAGCGCTGCTTGTGGTTGCCTCGTGTGCTGCCCGCTTCCTTTGCTGATGCTGCACCGCTGCCGTTGTAGTCGTAGTCGTGGTCGTGGTCGTGGCTGTGGTCGTGGTTGTTGCCTGTGCGGCAACCATGGAAGTGCTGCCCTGCGCTGTGGTGATGACTTGTGCCACTGCCACCTCACGTGATAATGACGTTGTCTTTGCTGCGGTCGCACCCTTGTCCTTTGTTCCATCGTCCTGTGCAGTCGATGCGCCTGATTGCGCCGGCGTTCGTGTCGTCGAGACTCTTGCCATCACCGTGGACACCGACACGGCCGCCCCCTGCTTATTCTCCTGTGCCACATCGCCACCATCACAATCATCACCATCATCATCGCCACCATCACCAACACGAGCCACACCGCTCTGCTGTGGGGTGACTTGCCCCTCCCGCTGAATGCGGCGCTGCAAGTGCGACTCTGCCAGCGTCTTCAGCTTGGGCTTGTACCCGCCCCGCCGCGTGCCCTGGTACAGGATGGCCGTGTCGACGATGCGTGTGTGCCGCAGCGAGAGCGCGCGGAGATCGTTCTCGAGCGAGTGGCCGACGAGGATGTCGTGGCGCGTCATGATGCTGCACATTGCGCGGCGCACGTCAGCCAGGGTGGTAGTGACGCCCTCCAGCATGGCAGCCGTGATGCCGCTGTACTTGGTCACGTAGTCGCGAATCGGGTTTGGCGGCTGCACCAGCGTGTCCAGCACAACGCGATCGCGCTCGTCAATGATCGAGATGCGCGTCAGCTCAAACCCATTGTCCGTAATGCACATCTCACAGTCGAGAGCAAACACCCGCGGTGACATTTGCTGCTGCTGCTGCTGCTGCTGTTCGTGCTGGTGTTGCTGTGGTGGTACGACTGCTGCTGGTGCTGTTGGTGCTGTTGTCTTGCTCGCACCATCAGTGCCGCCGGCGCTTTGGCCGTGGTTACCATTGCCACTGTGCCTGGCATCAGGCAGCTGCCAGTACGATGGCGGAGGTGCAGCGCTGCTGCTGGTGGTGGCTGTGGACGGCGAGGACCGCGACGCGCTTGCCGGCTGGCTGGCATGACTGGCTGTGTCGGTGACAGGCAGGTATTCGTTGTCGATGAGCTGCTGCTCCGTCAAGAGGAGGTCGGTCCACGTGATGCGGTCGTCATTCTCGTCGTGTGCACTGCTGCCTTGCGAGGAAGAATTGTTCTTCTTGGACTTGTTCTGCTTCTTCTGCTGATAGCGGGGTGGTGGGACGGAGTTCAGAAGAGCAATGGATCCAATCTCCACAAACGCATCCGCACCCGGCAGCTTCAGCACCCGCTTGAAGGAGGGCGTCGGTGTCGCTTCTGACGGCTGCGTGGGCTCCGACGATGGGGCTGACGTTGACGTTGAGGCGACGCCCGTTGAAGCGACGCCCGTTGCGCCCTCATCCTTGACTTGGAGCTGTTGAGCGGGAGTGTCGTTCTTGCTTGCGTTGGTTTTGGGTGAAGATGAAAGTGCTGCTTCAGGCTCACCAAACGGAACACCCACGACTCGCTGGCACGTGCGCAGGGAGTCGGGCGAGAGGCCTTGCACAAGAAGGACGCGAACCTGCCCGAGGCGTTCCTGGTGCTCGAGCCGAAATCCGTGGCTCTTCGGGGCGACAGTGCCAAAACCAAGGAGGGTGTGCAGGATTGCGGCGACGCCGCGCAGTTTCAGTGCTTGATTGGGTTGTGTGCATGTCAGCTGCATGCGCTTTCGCTTCTCCTTCTTCTTCTTGCGGTTTTGGCGGCGCCGTGCACCCTTGCCTGGTTTTTG